CAATCACCATGTCTTTCCCAGGCGTAAAAGAATGAGTGACATGCTAAAGGCTGGTCACTCCGTCTGGTACACAAAAACCTAAGAGCTCTTTGGACGATAGGATGGAAAGTGTCTGTAATGTGGGTGATGGACACAATAACATGAGTCAGTGACATCAGTTGGAGAATGCACTATCTCAAGATGCCCAGGTTCAAAAAAAGTGGCTAGAGCCTCCTTTCTGAGAACTAGGGAATGGGGATGGAGGAAGAGGGAGGGAGGGTGGGAATGGGAGGAGATGACAAAGGGAGCTATGATTGGGATGTAAAGTGAATAAATTAATTTTTTAAAATATATCAAAACAAACAAAAATATAAAACAGAAAGAGTGGTTATTCTCCATTCCTCCTTCTTCCTTTACGGCTAAGCAAGTGTATTCAAGGTTTGGCCCTCTTTATGATGACATGTTATTATCTCTGCAAGTTTCCTTTTGTTTGGAAGAAATTCCTGATGTCATTCAAAGATTATAATCCATCATCCCCACTAATTGATCTTGTACTTCAGCTTATCCAAGAAAATGGAAAATCTTCAGAAAAACTTGACTATTTGCCGTGTATGTTAGATAAATTGTAGACCGCAAACTTTCTATAGAGTATATTTTTTAATGAGAACATAGTGTTATATTGGGGTCATATGGCATTCTTGCTTAATAGAAACTTTTACAAGAACACATACACATTTATATCCAAACACCAAATGAAGTAGATTGTTTAAATGACCAGTTTTGCACCAGAAATAAAATATATTATACAAAACAGGGCTATTATCCACAGTCATTAATTCTCACTTTCTACACAAAACAATAAATTAAATCACATTATATGCAGATAGTTCTACTTACATTAGAATAGTTAGCTGTATCTAGCTAGTACAGCTTTGACTTCTCTCTTAGACTCATGGTAGGTTTGTATGGTTTGATGGCCCTATGTTTAGATTGTCCATGAATATGGCTCAAAAGATACAGGCTGCAGGATTGACCCTTTGCAGAGCCAAGCTCGTGATCCCTGGTTTCAGCTATGCACAGAGAACAAAGCACAGATTCTCAGAACCACAGGGCCTCTGGCCTATTGAGGGCACTTCATTGCTGACTTACATGCTCTACCACACTGAACATTTTTCAGACACAGGCATTGAATAATGAATAAGACACTCCATGTTAAAATCCATGTTTTCCTCTTTCTTTGTGGAAGTAACTCCTTCTCTACCCAACAATGAATATGTACTATGACAGCTTTGTTCTAGAAAATAAAAACTAAATTTGGTAGCTGTTATGATTCATGCTTGGCAAATGGACCCTTTGTCCCTGTGCATATAGATTTATGTCTTTTAAATGTGAAGCAGAGAAATGTAACATGTTTTATTAGCTCTGAGCTCTACTTGTTCAAATCTCTCCACTAGAAATCATCTCATTCCTGATATACCAAAGCATTTCTTGTAACATATTGAATTTTACCTCTGAAATTCAGCTCTCACTGAAATCCTTTTGATTGTTTTGGAAGTGATTCAAACATAAATACTAGCATCAGCTGGCTCAGAACACTCAGAGTTTGGTATGAATTAACCTTAGTGGTTAGTGAGAGATTTGAACAACCTCCAGCCCAGTGCCTTTTGAGCATTATTTTCATCCCAGAGGCCTGCAGAAGACACCTGAAAAATCTGTATGCTGAGGACCAAAGCCAGGCTCATTCGTGTACATGAAAATTACAAATTTGACCTGCCCCAGGGCATGCATGCTCAAGTTACTGTCAGGCTCCTGACTAGAATCCAGCTACCTCCTTACAGCCAGTGTTATTTCATCGCTTTCTCTGAGTGAGTGTGGAGGCCACATGCATGGGAAAAGTGTTAACACATATGTAGAGACATGGTAGATGGTAGGTGGGGCCCTGGGAAGAAATGCAGCAGAGACAGAATCACCTGCAAAGTTCTTCCCTCTGTTGCCTTGGGTGAAATAAGCTCCTGGTTCTTCTCACTGGGCCTGCCCAACGCTTCTTGTTGAGACTGGCTATTGAAGAAAGTCTAAACTTCTCATTATTCTTCAGTTCTGAAGACCAACTAGAAGAGACACGGGTCCCTCCAGTGCCCCTAGCTCATTCCCCATTTCTATGCTGCCCCTAAAACATCCTGTGTTTCTAGACAGTTTCCTTTTTTTCCACTGAATGAGAAATTCAGCTCATTACAACCTTCCTTCTGAAGTCCTGAACCACTGGGTGTAACTAAACAAAACCCATGACGTGTAGGTAGAGGGGCCAAATTTCAACTGGCATTTGCCTTCACAGGGGCACTGAGTTCCTCAGTGTCTCAAGAAATATCGGCATTAATATTTTACAATTTATAAACACTATTCTTTCATTCTTTTGTGTGTGTGTGTATCTTAAAAAAAAAAAAAACCTGCACAGGTAGCTCTGCTTCAAGAAAGCAATGGTGCCACTGGAAACAGCTTCTGACTCTCTTTTTCCTTCCTACTGCTGGTCTTAGACCCCTACCATCAGTCCCAACCAGAAAAAAAGAGGTAAGTTAAGGATACAGAGGGCACATGTGCCTTCAGCAAAGGCACAGGGTGCCTGTAAGAATGTCAAGAAATGACTTGACATTCCGAAGCTTTTCATTCAAGAAAAAGAGGAAAGGGAGGCATGTGTTCTCATTCCATAGGATTCTCCCTCTCCTCTGTGAATTCTTAAGTGTAAATAACTATGTTAAGACTTATAGGGCTCTGTGGTTCAGGAAAAGACATGATGATGGTTCTTCAGAACAATATAGTGTTGACAAGTTTCCTTGTAAAACCTCTGTTTGGGTTAGGGGGCAGATATGACTCTACACATAATGTTTTATTTCTGAGTTCATCTTCTTTCCCAAACCTAAGACAATATGTTGGCTATAAAATTTGTTTACTTCCAACACCATAATTATATGCTTATTTAAACTTATATATGCACTTACATCTGACTAGGTGAGAAAAATACTTAATCATTGAGAAACCTTAATCATGAGAAACCTTAATCATTGAATTTAAGAGTACAAATTTATAGAATGGCTTAAGAACTGAAGTCCCATTTAGTCTATTATATAATCGCTGGCTACTGCAGGTTATGAATGACTAATTGTCAAAGCTGTTGCTTAGCAATTAGGAATTTAAGTCCTACAATACAATACCAAGAGGTCTTAAGTCAGGACCACCACGAAACAGACATCACATTCTTAGCAAAGACTTCCTAACTTAGTGATGTTTTCAAAACTTAGTGAAGCTTGGCAACTCAGATAAAGATTCATTTTTTTTCTGAGATAGGGTCTCACGGTGGAACCACTGCAAACCTAAAACTCACTATGTAGAGCATATGTCCCTAAACTCACAGAGATTTACTTGCTTCTGCCTTCTAAGTGCTAGGATTAAAGACATGGGCCACCTTGCCTAGGCACAGGAAGATGTTCAAGGAAGAAAAACTATGTAGGAGACATGTAAGTGAGCAATCAATCTTGGTAATTGTAGAATTAATTTAAAATTGTGATAAAAGACTTCAGGGACCTTATGATTCATCCTGCTCCCTTCTCATCTTTAACATCTAATCTAGGAATACTTAACAATTCCTCTAGCTAGAGTAGAAATAAAAGGTATTTGTTGTAACAACGCTGCCATTAATGGGGCACTATATAAATTCAAGAAAGGTTTTACATAGAAATAGAAATATTTACACCCAATGAATATAGCCAAGCAGAGGATTTTGCCCACCACCACCCTCCCATAATTAACACACAGGTTCAAAAAAATACAGATTAGAGAACAAATATCTCTAACATACAAGGAAAACATCATTGAAAAAGTAAAAGAGAGAAATCAGCTCTCCAGTACAGGTAACTGAGGTGGCTGCAACCTGCCCAACTGTTTTCCTTGTCCTCCAGGATCAAGCTTGATTACACAGAAGTGATGCAAGTTCCTATCAGCCACTGATTTCCTGAGTTCTACTTCCCGAACTCTCCTCCTGTGTTAGATTTTGGAAGTTTGCCTATCTTGCCTACTTTTTTCACTCTTTCTGAAGTTCACACTTTTCCCATGTGCAGAGCCACAATGTAGCTCCTTCTATTGTTCAATGAATAATTCTTCTTATCATGTGGTTTGCATCCCATTTCCTGAACCATAAAGGAGTTCACCTCACACAGAAGCAGTCCATTCACCTTGACAATGAGATGGGATTCACTCCTTCCCAGGGAAGCAAGCTTGGGACAGCTTTCAGAACTTGCTGTGCTCACTTGGCTCCTCTATGGTTAACCTGAGTGAATATGGCCTCCTAGGAATTATGCAATTTCTCCTCTTTAAACCATGCTTCAGATGCTCAAAATGTTACCGGGAAAGGTACACACCTCCTCCATGCTTTTACAAGATGGCACCTTGTCCTCTCCTCAAATGATGAAGTGGGAACTCAAATTTAAACCTCCGTGCACAGAACTGAGGGCAGAGTGGATACCCAGCAAACGCTGGCTCAACAGTGGCCACTCTGCACTTGTCTGTCCTCGCTCACTGTCCAAGCTAAGGATCATCTGTGATGCTGCAAAACTCTTGTGGGGTTAAGGGGAAACAGAAGATTTTAATCAAGATCATCACCTCAGATTTTGATAAATTGTATGCATCTTTTAAATTTACTTTTACTTTTGTGCTTTACTGTCAAATTCTCACTCTCTGTTCTTCAGGGAAAGGGGTTGCATTTCTCTATAGACCCTGCTTAACTCTACCGACCTTCCTTTCTTGGTTTTGAAGTGTATCACTTGGCTGTAATTAGAAGGAACATAGCCCTCCAATAATGTACATTTAAAACAAGCAAAAGGGAAAAGTCATCGTGTTCCTTTAGAGTTTGTAAGCTGAACATATTTCTGGACATCTGCAAACAGAGCAGCCACAGCCAAGGGAGAGTGGACAACACAGAAAAAGAGAACCATCCTCCATCACCACAGACTTGCCACAGACCTCCTCCATGCTTTTACAATATAAGTGAAATTTAATCTTCAAAATGAAAAAATAGACACATTTCTAATACCAAAATATAAGATTAAAATACTTAAAAATAAAATGTTAGTGTGAAGTAGGGCTTTTTTTACATCATAAAAGAAACATTTTAGACTCATTCTTCTTATATAAATCCTCCTAGCTCACTAATATTTACAGTTTTCCAAGGTATCTCTTATGAGACACTGAAAGAGACAGGGAGGGTCCTTTCTTGAGATATGAAGACAGACCTGAATGTGGACATTGGACACGGCCCTTGTCAACCACAAACCTGTGCATTAGTTCCAAAGAGAGGAGCACTGCATTCCCAGCCTTGAGATTTCTTTCATTCCATTGTCCTCTTATTGGGTATTAAATTCTTTCCAAGAATATTCTACTTGTAAAAATTGTTTTATTCTAGCTACAAAACATTTCATTTCAGAAAAACCACATTTTTATATCCTTGTGTGAAATGCCCCCAAAGCAATCAAGATACGGAGACACCAGGCTTTCAAAACATAAATCTACTATACCCTTCCAGCAGTCAGACCACTTAATAGAATGATGTTATTATCATTATATTTGTTTGCCATGAGATGAAAGGCTGAGAGGCAGATAGTGATTAATAATCATTCCTGAGCTTCTAAAGGAAATTTAAAGTGAAATGACTATTGCATGAAAGAATGAAATTCTCCAAGAACGCCCTTTCTGTTCCACTGATGTCTTTCCTTCCATTTATCTCTTTAAGAAATCTCAAGCAGACAAAAGGGAGCATTTCTTTTAAGCCACCGAAAAATGAGATCTGATAGAATCTTCCCGTAACTCGCGATGCTTCCCGATGTTACTTTCTTCTTGGTGATTTCGCCTCTCAATGGTTATTCTGTATTTCTTCCTGGGTAAAAGCAAAACAAATGAAATAATAAACCCTCACTTGACTATAAAATACTATGGTTCCTCTTACAAAGAATGCCCTCCAGGGACATGTGGGTTAGGTTTGATAAATGAGAAGTGACACAATACAAAACCCTGGTCAGAGATTAAAGTAGTGTGCCCCAAGGCATCATCATGTCCTTATTCACGGAGGAAAATTGGCATGTTTTCCAAAATGCTGCAGAACAAGCCTTCCCCTTCTTCCCTGGGAGCCTGTGGGCTCAGCCTTATCTATTCTGCCCCAGAAGCTCTGCTTGACTCCCAGGATATGCCCTCAGATAAGGATCAGATTAAGTGTACTGTGACCAAAGGAACAGGAACACAATTGTTCCCACAAAGAGCCACATACACGCAGACTTACATTTCCATGCAAAAATGAAAAAACCTTACAAATAAGCCATGATGACTTACAACAAGACATGAATTCAACCACTGAAGATTACCAAAGAATGGGCCACCATCACTGCAGCAAACAACTAAAACCTTGAACACATGTGCAATATCATGAGTTTATGAGTCTTGACATTCAGCCTCAACAGCTAAACATGCAGCTTCTCCAAGCACAGAACCCACTGCAGCCTGGGATTAGACACCACCAGGAGCTTCTTCCAGCCCTTCATGGTGAACACGGGCACTTGTTTCCAAATTGAAGCAAGCCTGAGGATGGGGAGTTCATTCTTTGAACAGATTTTCTCTTCTCTTTTGCACTCAGTAGGTAGAAGGAACTCTCATAAGTGGATCAATAATTCAGAGATCCTAGCAACTTCCCAGCCCATGGTGGTGAACAGGAGCAAGCACTATAGAACTCCATGACTTACTGACTGCCAAATACAAGACCAAATACAAGGCTTTGATATTTTAATCACCATCCTTCTTGTTTGAATGAAGGGTGTGGTCAAATCACAGGGAATATTATACACAAACAGGAGACAAAGGCAAAAAAAATAAAAAATAAAAAGCACTGTGAATGTTAACATCAGAAATGGTGCCTACCTGAAAAAGTAGAAGGCCATTAGCAAACCAGCCCCTAGTAGGGCCCCAACAACAATTCCTGTCACTGCTGATTCTTCTAGGCCACCTGCTTGAAAAGAAACACCAATAATAAGAGTTCATTTTGAGAAACAAATTTTCCTTTCTTTGCAAATTATATATGTGTGTACACACATATAATTGATGAGAATATATTACATATATATGTATATGTATACATATAATTGATGAGAATATATTACATATATATGTATATGTATACATATAATTGATGAGAATATATTATATATATATGCATATGTATATATATATATATATATATATTTTTTTTTTTTTTTTTTAGAAATCCTGGACTTTCTTCCTTGCTAAGTGCAAAGCTTAAGAAAGGGTTTTCAGAAAGCAATAGATAAATGCACCGTCATAGGAGAGTGAACAGAACAAGGTCAAAAACAAGATCAAAGTTGGGCCTGGGACAAACACCAGTCACCCTAGCACTTGAGAAGATGAGGCAACAGGATCTCAAGTTTGAAGACAGCCTAAGCTACATAGCAAGATCTGTAACAGGGAAGGAGGGAGGAAAGCAAGAAGGGGAGGTGTGAAAAGAGAGTTAGAGAGAATAATATGCAGAGAAAGAAACAGATTCAGGAAGGATCTGATGAAAGTGGCAAACTGAAGAGCTCAGGCATACCCATACTCTCTGAGTTTAAAGTCAAAGAAGACCCCGGATGGACTAAGGCGCTGCCCCAGCGCTTCTGTCTCTCACAGGTGGATGGTAACACTTCAAAGTGCTAGAAGGCTTGAGGGAAGTTGCACTGGGTCAGTACTCTGTTTTTAGATGTTCTCTCACTAAATCCAGAGTTTCATCTCAAAATGTCCTATATAGCTTTGCAAAAATGTAGACCATTTGAATTACCTCCTTCTCAGGAGGATCTCAGGTCTTGAAAACAGCTACTTTCCTTGCAGGGTTTAGACTAAGTTTACAGTGCACAGTCTCGTCAGCTCTTCAGATCAAAGTTGGGCCAATTCTCTTTACACATGGGAAAAGTGAGGCTTGGTGAACAGAAAGAATTTTCCTGAGGTCCCAAAACTGGCAAGAATCAAAGTGAGATTTGGGATCCAGTCCCAGAGACATGTGGTTAACACACTTGCTCCTTAATTCTTTCTCATAATTATCACATGGATATAAATTCCTGATCATTGAATGATGAAATCAATACTGAGATTTCTTAAAAGAGATGAAGAAGAGACAGTTAATAACATTTTTTATGTTTCCTAAAAGTAGAAACCTCTAGTAACTAAGAGATTGTGGTAGGAGATATAAATCCAGGCAGAATATCCTACCATTTGGAAGAAAATGATAAAGTGAATAAATAAGGAAACTTCTGGTAAGGGGGAAAGGGTGGCTATCTGTGAATTGTTCCCATGGGTTTGAAAACATCATAAAAAAACCTGGGAGCTTTCAGAACATGAGTCCTTGAGAGAAACATGTGTCGGACTCACATGCAGTGCGAAATTGGAGAAGAGGAGGAACAGTAAATTAAGTCTCTGAACTTACACGATTTGCAAGGAGAGCTGTTGGTATGCTCCAAAATCCTGGTTTCATCTATTCTCAGCTTCAACGGGCCCCACGGATATTTGACATTGGATCGCATTTTGAACCGGCCTTCTTTTCCAAAGTAATCACCAATCACCTACAGGAAGACAAAAGTCAGACATACAAAAGGAAAAGCCAATGAATGATACCTGTTACCAAAAGAGGCACAAAGCACATAGCCTTGCACGCACTCTCCAAAACCCAGGCTGCTCTACAGGAAGAGACAGCAAGAGCTTCAGAACAACATGAGAAATGGGACGAGAGCTCTCCACTATTGTGCAGGGGACACTAACTGTCACAGTGGTTCCTCACGGCAGGGAAGAAATCAAGGTCACGTAGGCTTAGAAAGGTATGGACATGACAAAGACAGCGCCACTTGGTGTCTGTCCACACTGGAGGCCACACCCCACCAAAGCTGTCCTTAGGTAGTCATCAGTTGCTACTGCATAAGAGAGAAGTGTGGATTTTTCATTTCCCCATGAAACAATAATCTACAAATTTACAGCTTTTTCCCTTGCTCATCCCATCTGGCCTCAGAAGCAGTCCACACTGTCAGCCATGTGTTAGGCCCATTTTCCTTAGGGCTATGAGACAGAGCCAATGCCTCTGTATACACACTCAAGTTAAACACACTCCTCACTTAGACTGACATAGAATTATAACACTAAAGCACATGATGTAGACTGACAGCAAGGTGGCTTAAGAGGTAAAGGCTCTTGCCACCAAGCCTTAAGACCTAAATTGGATCCCCAGGACAGACATGTCTAGCAAGATAACTTATTCCTATAAATTGTCCTCTGAACACACACACACAAATAAATGCAACTTAAAAAACTTCAGAGCATCCTTGAGGAGCTTTCTAGTTGACCCTCTTTTGGTTATGCTGTCTCTTTAGGGGTCACAGTCATCTGATGAATTCACTTCTTGTGTTCTGCCATTCAGTTCAGACTGAACAGTTTCAGCTGTCACCTTAGACCCCTGGAAAATCGTCACTCATTCATGATGGGATTGCAGGGTCACGCTCCAGCTAGACTATTAGCTCAGTCACATGAGCTAATCTGGCAGTGCCTTCTCACACATAGTTTCTAGGGATTCTCTTTTGTCTGGGCACAAAATGGGGTCTCCTGGGTGGCCTATGACCTTTCTCCTCCATCCTGACTGAGCTACAGCAGGCTCTCATAGGCTCTCAAATGGTCAAAATAATTCTAGGCCCTCATGAAAAACGACAATTACAGCTATGTGCTGAGCACATCCCAAGTGCACTGCAACCTCACAGTAACATTAGATGGACTATCACGTCACACCTTCTCCAGAGGCGGAAGGTGACAGCAGACAAGACCCAGACTGGGGGCAGGAGGAATATAGAATCATTCAGTGAACACAGTGCCAGGATTCCTGCTCTATCACCAGGCGGACCCCCACAGAGAGGAAAACAAGTCTCTAATGCGCATGCCCAAAACATGATAAGAGTGATGTCCTTGCAAGGAAACAGGGAAATCATCATTGTGTGCTGAAAACTGCATTTTTTTTTTCAGCAGAAACACTATTTATTTCATACTTATTTCCTTTCTCTGTGTTTGTCAATTAGAGGTCATGTGTTACTTTTCATATGGTTCTAATGATGCTGTGAGACCAGCAAGGAAAATATTATGATTCCCATGTTACAGCTGAAGAAACTGAAGCTGAAGGCCCCTGAGCCCAGTGACTGTCATAGACTCATCTTTGATCCAAGACAGACTTCCCTGTCCTGAAACTCCACCATCTTTTGAAATAGTAACACCTGAAAATCCATAATAACCACTAGAAAAGGAAATCTGGAAACACACGAGGCAGGCAAGTCACACTTCGCCTGTCGACAGATACCATTAGTACACGGGGCTGAGGAGCGGCTCTTGACCACCTGCAAGGTAGGACTTCTCTCCTGAGAACACACCTGGCAGCACGCCCTGCCTTCTGTCTGACCCCTTGACCAACAGTGAGCTTTCACCATACAGAAAGGCTTGTGTTTATTCGAAGCATGCTTTGGACAACAGGGCAAACACATTCTCAGAGTTCCCCATTCGCAAGAGCGACCACTGAAGAAGTCCTCTCTGCTCACCTCCTGGGTGCCTGCTTCAGCGTCCGTCATGGCGACCACGGAGAAGTCCCCATACCGATCCCCGTTGGCATCTATGGACACCTGCCCGGCGATACCTACGGGAGAGGTAGAGAACTCCGAGTTGGTTACTTATGGTACTTCTGCCTGCCAAGAAAACGAATTGATGGGATTTTTTAAAACAAATTCATGCCACAGGGACTCGCATCAGGCTGGGAGCATTTTTGTTGGCCTTTGGAAAGACATTGTAATTTCATCTGTGTCTGCATTCCTGAATTCTTAACATTTCTCCATTTAAAAAAGAAAAAGAAATAAAATGATCTTTGGGGGGGAAAAAAAGGCCAATGCTGAAAGTAGTGTGTTCATTCTAGAGTTTTGATCTTTTTTTTTTTTTTCAAAGAAGTAGCCAAGAAGTAAAGATGTCTTATCATACATAGGTTGATGTGATGGTTGGACAACTCTCATAAAGAAAATCAGTCTGGCCCAGGATTCCGTGAGTGTGCTTCACACAGACTGCATTAACACACAGGAAAGCGGGAGGTCTGGTGGGTGGGTCCCTGGAGTCAATGTCTAAAGAGCAAGTCTTTATTGCCCAGTGTGTGTTCATTTATTGCTGGAACATTATCTGGAAGATTCCTGGGTGTTGAGTTAGCACTGCAGCGGAGGTTAAGTTAGAACAAGCAGAGTCTTTGCTCAAGGAGGGGCCTGGACCTTTTCCCATTAGAATCAGATCGGTTGGAGCCAGTGGAGTAGAGGAACATGCTTGTCACCAAACTGAACATAGAGTTGATCTCTGGGACCCACATGGTAGGAAGAGCAAAATGGCTTCCAAAAATTGTCCTCTGACTTCCACACACTCACTGTGGCACACCTATGGACATACACACATGTACTCACCCACACGCACACACACACAAACCACACACATACTACAATAAAATAAACAAAATGTAATTTGGGATTTTCTTTAATACTAGGAATGACTACTGAACTGTGGTTCTCTTCCCCTACTTCTGCAGCCTCAGCCAACATATTGATTAGTCCCCTGAACCTCAGGCTCTACAGCCGGCGCAAGCAAGCACAATGTCAAGCCCCTGCCGAGAGGCTGTGGACATGATCGCGTGAGGTAAACCGTGGAGGTATCTCCTGCAGATATTTAAGCAAGACCTGCCGTTTCCTTCCATCAGCGTCACTGCCACCGTTACTGTTCCCACAGTTTAAGGATCCCTTAGCCAAAGTACTCGGGACCAGAAGTGTCTCAGATTTCAAATGTTTTCATTTTTTGCATGTTTGCATACACATAATGAGACATCTTGGGGATAGGACACAAGTCTAAACACAAGATTCTTCCATTTCATATAAACTTCCACACATAGCCAGAAGGTAATCTTAGTACAATATTTTAAAAAAAATTTTTTGCATGAAACAAATATCCATTGTAAGGAAGTTTCTATTTGTCACTTAAAATGTTTCAGACTTGGGGATTTTTGAGCTTAGGGTTTGGAGGTAAGGATGATATTTTAAAGCTACCATTATCATTACTGTGCTTGCAATATCAGAGAAAGTGCCTGACCATGCTCTATGACCCAGAGGACAACTCGGCACGTCAAGTTAGAGTTCAATAAGAGAGCAGGAATTAAAACATCTCTATAAAGTTACATGGAAGGAAACCTGTGATTCAAACCACTATCAAGAAGTGTAAGAAACCTGCCTGGCTTAATTTACAAAGACCCTGAAGCAAAGAAAAAAAAAAAAAAAAGACCCAGAGAACTGTGAAGCTTCTAATGAAGGGGGTCTGTATTTATGGACAGAGCCAATGAAATACGAAGCCAGAGCAGAGCAGCTAGAACAGAGAGGACCCACCCACCTTGAGCAGCCACAGTGGGTGCCCACAGCAACCAGTTCCCAAAAAGCCACTAGAGAACAATGGCTGATACTAAGTTGTCTGTTTTCCTGCCTTCACTCACTACCTAGCAGGGTGTGGGCACCAGCTATGTTCTCATTAACAAAAGCCATTTATTTTCTTTGTGGGAGACTTCTGTGTTGTTCTTAATTGATGCTTCCATCTATTTGGTTCTCTCCAGAAGTTAATGACTGCCCCAGTCAAATGACTGTCTGCAGTGAAGGATCCCAGGGGAAAGTTCCATCCTCTTGTGTGGTTTGGAGAGGACAGTATTTTGGGTTTACTGTCCTTTGGGATGTGGTTTGAAGGTCCACTGATTTTTCCAGACTTTGGGCTACTTTGCTGGAAACAGAATGGAGGTACCATTCATCTTCATTTTTTGTCTTCTTAATAGAGGTAGGTTACAAAGGTATACCCATCACCAACTTCTGCATCCTTGAGAGCCTACAAAACTTCAAATTGTTTACATGTAGTATGTACACATATATGTACATATGTTTATGCATATATATACATACATATGGTATATATATTCATATACATATATATGAATTCATTCTCCAAATATTGTGCCTATCTAGAAACACTTGCCGTTTTGTTCAGAGGTGTCTGGGAAGGTGTGTCCTGCTCAGTGTTTCACAGAATATTTTATAAGATGAAGTGGCCCTAGTGATTCAGCACCTCATTACACCTTTAAGTCATTGCAGCTCTGCCAAGAAATAGGGTGAGAACTCTCGGGATGGCTGCTTCACAAAGTGAGACTTGACCTGAGGTTATCAAGCAGAAGTGGGGTTGTTATAACCACAGCAGAGTTTTCCTGTGTACCAGCAATGATCCCTTCTACCCTTTCTCTGTTTGCCCGGAGTGGAGCTTATGCCCTATGCCACAGTCCTGTTTACTTGGTCCCTCTGACCCTTCACACAGAGGAAACATGGCTTCTTCTTGGATCATCTTTTGAAAGACTTGAGAGTTGATCATAGGTTTCATGGCAATAAAATCCAATTTTGTCAAATAACATCCAGGGTATTTTTTTTTTCCTGCTGACAACTTAATAGTCACTTACATCAACCACTAAAATTAGAATTGTTTTTAGTGTTAGGAAGGTTTGAGTTTTTCTTCGCACATCTACCTTAGAGCTCTTTGAGGGGCTACCTTCAAATGGACTATTGTTTGGCAAATAAGATGCGCTCTCCAAACCACTCAAATCCAGACTTATCTTGGCATCAACCTTTACATTTGAACATACAAGGTTCTAATTTTAGACCCAACTATATGATTCTTTATACTCTTGGTACATGCTGACCGTGTAAACCTGGCCCTAAAATGGAAATATCAAGATGGCATATAAGAAAATTTAGTTCATGTCTTGGCTCTAAACAAAACTGTACCCCAGCCATTGTGGGCACCTGCCCTTCTCTCAACAACCTCCCTCAGTGGCGCCTTTCAGCATCCCCAACTCTGGCTTCTGTCCCGCTGTCAAAAGACCAAGAACAAATGACCACACCATGCAGTGAGTAATAGCTAAGAATGGGATGTGCCTGACCAAGGTTGTGTCCCCACACACAAATTTCTCGGTGTATTGTGCACAACTTCTGGGAAATTTGACTTTGTCCTAATATGCTCCCTGAATTACCCTATTTGATTCCTGCCCCTCTGATGAAGCAGGAAGAGGCAAAGCAAGGTCATCCAGGAAGCTTACTCACCGTCAAGCAACTACTTGTCTAAAATGAAAGGTGTCACTCTTGTCTAGAGTAAAGCATGGCGTTCACTGAAAACACCACAGAGCAGTGAAACCTAGCAATAGCCACCAGACAACCCTATCTGGAGCTCCATTCCCCTCTACTGTCCTTCCTGTTTAATATCTGAGGACGAGCTGAGGCCATAGAACAGAGAGGGGACCCTCATGTACTCCTCTCTGATCTAGAGTTGGCTTCGTTCTTGTCATTGAAATTTTTCACTTTTTCATGAAAACCTTCACGAATGAGTATAAGCATACTTTGGTCCACTAAAGGGCTCACAGGATGAGTTGGCACAAAACGGAACTGAAAAGAGATCTTTTTCAGTTATCTTACTTCTCAGCCTCCTTCCAGAGCCAATGGGGTATAAAGGATGCAGGCTCCTGCTCCCTGTTTCCCAGGTCTGCATTCTGTATTAATGGTTCTCAGAAGACGCTCACCAGCAAACCACAGGTTATGTGCTTCTGAGCAGCCAGAAGGCATAGCATCTCCCTGGAAACTAACATTGCTTTCTATTTCAGCGGGCTTTCCAGGTCCATGGGACTGCCCCCACTGCATCTTCAACTTTGGGTCCTATCCCACTGTGCCACATAGAACTCCCAGCTCCGCGGGAGCAGTCTCCTACCACATAACACTCAGACTACAATACAACTGCTGCTCCCTCGCAGCAGTCTCCTAAACAAAATGGCTTCTCCTGTCGCCCTCAGGTCTCACCTTGCTGCCATGTTCAGAGACTTTTGCCTGACCACTCTAAGCCAACAGTCCCACCCACCACTTTCTAGATCTTCCTACTCTGCTCCATTTTACAGCCCCTGGAATCCAGTGTGTGTTTATTGTCTGTTCGTACACACACTCTCACACACACACATATATTTGCACATTAGATAAACTGATGATCAGCAACATCTTTAGTTCACTGCTTTATCCCCTGCTCCTTGAACAGTGTCTGGTATATCACAGCTGCCTGTCAAATGGATGGTGTGGAAGACTAGAAAGTTGATGTCTGCTCTAGGAACCAGCTCATGCCAGCTTGGAGTATTAGTGAGATAGGAGAAAACCACCTATCTTATATACACTTATATAAACCACCTCTCATATTTATATACTGATAAAAATATAGATTAGCACAATTTTCTCTAAGATGTTTGGCAAGTAGTCAACCCTAAAGTCATCCTTACAAGCAACATTATACTGACTAATCAGGTTATATTTAGGAATATATGTGTGTACATACATAGATACATATATGTATATAGATATATACATACATATGCATACAGTAACAACTAGTTTAAAAAGGAGGCATGAATGTGAAGGAAAGGAGGAAAGGTGTGGAGGAAGGAAAGAAAAAGGAGCAAGGTAGGTAAAATCTCAAAAATTTTAAAAAGAAGCTATGTTGGTATTAGAATTAGCAAAGCCTCTCAAAAGAAAAGTCTGGCAATATTCAATGTACTTTATAAAGTACCAGCATATTTGAGACCCAAAGCCTTCACGTGAAACATGTTCTTTGTGAGAAATAGTCACAAAAATTCTCCAAGATGTGGAAGAGCCTGTGACGCCGTATTGTAGAATAACAAAAACTGGAGCCCATTGAAGCATCCACCAAAGACAGATTAGAAGCTGACTGTGGTAGAACCTGCAGTCCAAGACCTCGGGAGGCAGAGGCAGGAGGATTGCCTCCTGTCTAAGGCCAGTCTGTCCTATAAAAACAAGTTCTGGGTCAGGCAGGACTACATGGTAAGACCCTTCCTCAAAACAAATAAACAAAAAGAAGTAAAGGATTATGTAGACAAATGGCAGAATGTCATTTTAAAATGTTGTTAGGTCTACGAGTGCGCGTATGCAGTTTTTTACATACAAAAATAAAAGTATAATATAAACAAAATTAAAGTGAAAGGTGGTGTTTACAATGAGACCTGCTTTACAAAAGTTTCACGTGGTTCATACGGTATGCTAGCACAAGGTGTAGCAGGCCTCTGGAGTCATCTAGGGAAAAGTCGATAGTGGTTGCACTGGGTGAGGTAGACGGGGGTGGGAAGCAGAGCTTTCACTTATTTTGTGCATTTTCGTTGTTTTTAAGCTTCCAAGACAAATACAGTCTCATTTTCAAATGTCAACATAGGCTCTTCTTATTCTTACACTTCTCTCCTGTTTGGTTTTGTTTGGTTGGTTGGTTTTTGTTTTGTTTGTTTGTTTGTTTGGTTGGTTGGTTTTAACAGGAACTGATGTTCCCTGTTTTGAAAGTAACATAAAAGCAGAGGACCTGGACCCATTAACAAGCTCCGACAAGCAGGCTGGATGTGACAGCCAGCATGTGCACTTCACGAAAGCCAACATGGTCCGCATATGCGAAAGCATGCCTGCGCTAACACGGGGTGACAGGCCTTCAAGCCTGACTGCAGCTCTCTCACACTGACGGATGAAGAGACTTACGTTGGAGGTGATTTTGAAGTGCATGGGGCGGGGAGATGGCTCTGTGTGTGAAGCGCTTACTGTGCAGGCATGACAACCTGAGTCCTGACTCTCCGCCCTACGTAAAAAGCTGCGCACAGTAGTTCCGAGCTGTAACCCGTGTGCTAGCAGAGGCAGAAACAGACATGTCTCAGGAGCTCGCTGCCCAGTCAGTCTAGCCAAAACAGTGAGCTCCTGATTCGATTCGATACAACTCAAACACTACGTTGTAGAAAAATAAAATCTGACATGAACCTCTAGCTTACACACACACACACACACACACACACACACACACACACCATGGTATACTTGTTATTTAAATGGGCAGGAACAGGATAGTTCCTATTGCAGTAGAATTTGCTCAAATCATGTTCACATGCATTGTACTATTTGACCTTATTTTTCCAACCCTGTGAGGTGAATTATTGGCTTATTATCCATACTTTAAAATGGAGAGAGCTACACAACCATAACATATGCAGAGAGCCTAGGTCAGACCTATACATGCTTTCTGAGTGTCTCTTTGGGTCCCTGGGAGCCCAGGTTAGTTGATTCTGTGGTTTTTCTTGTGTTGTCCTTGACCCCTCTGGTTCTTACAATCTTTTTCCTCCTCTTCCGCAGGATTCCCCGAGCTCTGCCTAACGTTTGGCTGTGGTTCTCTGAATCTGCTTCCATCAGTTGCTGGATGAAGCCTCCTCTCTGATGCAGCCCGGTCTTCTTGTGAGACTTCTAGCAGTGGGAGTGGGGGCTGTCTATGAATCTTTTGCCTGCTTTGGTGACCGTGTTTGTCCTACTCAGTTGCATCATGCAGCCTTACATATGAGGGTTCATGCCTAGTCTTACTGCAACTTAATATGCTATTTGGTTGACAGCCCTTGGAGGCCTGTCCTTTTCTGAAGGGAAATGAAGGAGGAGTGGATCGGAGGGAAGAGGAGAGGTGGAGAGAGGGGCTAGAAGGAGAGGAGCAAAACTGTAATCAGGATGTAGTATGTGAGATAATAAAAAAAAAATGGAGAAGTCAAGAGTCTAGAAAGCAGCAGCTTATCTGGCTGTGGTGCTGCTACCATGGATCCCTTACCTTCAAATGTCCTGTTCCAAGTGTGCTGGATGATCTTCCCCCCATCCTTTTTGCTGTAGCCAGCTCTGAGAACTTCATGTAACGCTAGAACGTAGAGGAGGATGGCATCGTGGAACCCTTCAACAAACATGTTCACCTGCAAAGGAAACTGACTGTGAGCCTGAGACCCCAGGGATTCATGCTCCTCAAAGACACAAGCAAGCAAAATGGGCCAGCCTGAGTCTGGAGGTGTGAGGTCAGTGGTGGAAGTGGGCTGCCACTGACTAAGTAGAAAAAAAGTGTTCCTAATTTGGGATTTTATAGAGCAAGCAAGACATTACAAAAGGCAAAGAAACAATGCTCTTGTCCAGGTTGATCATTCCAGGAATTTCAACCATCACAGACAGTTGTTCCCATGCAATTACCCATCTGCCCATATCTTCTACCAGCCTCAATTCAACATGACTTCACTCCCCAGTGAAGTCCACTCTGACCTCCACAGCCTGCCTGACCTCTCCACACACTGAGTATAGGACACGTAAACAGAACAGCAATAACTGGACAAGCAGAGGCAGAGAAGTCAGGAATTTGAGGCCAGCCTGCACTACATGGCAAGATCTTGTCTCGGAACATCAAAACACATCAAGACAAAGATGTAGGCATCCATTTGTCCATACTCAACAAAACTGTTGTTAATTGCCTATGCATACTAAAGATACAAAGATACACAGGGCTTTCTGCCTGCCCTGGGAGTGGGGCAGTGCCATCTTCTGTGTTGGCAATAACCTCAATTTCTCTTTCCACCCTCTGCCAAGCTCCAAGGACGGAAACAGCTGCAGTCTTGACAGGCGCTACACTCTGTTTGGTCTCTGGCTCCAGAAAAAGATGGTATGATATCTCTGCTTTCCATAAAGTTAGTTCATAAATGGAAACACTGGTCATTGAACTTGGGGAAGTAGCTTTTTGTTTTATCTGCACCCATGTAGGTGGTGTAGGACCTTCTTCAGGGGTTATTGCAAGAATCACAGCAGAGCAGCATGAAGCAATTGGTGCAAATCAAGTATTCAACAACTAGTTTTGTGAACCGCACAATGTTCTCAAGGCTGTCTTATTCGGGATACAGTAAAAGAACATAAAATAGAATGGTTAGTATTATAGACTGGGGAATAAGATGAAGAGAAGCTCAATGGTCGTGACAAAAGTTGAACTGAGTTTTGAAAATGAACAGACGTGTGGAAGGGCAGAAGGTTGGTGAAAACAGTATGAGTAGAATAAGGGGGGGAAAAGCATACCCTGACCATTGCTACCTTAAAAGCAGCAACTGCTCTGCTGGGCTGAGGCAAGAGGGACAAGGCCACATGGAGACAAGCAGCAGAAACTCGGACCTCTGAGAATCAAGAGGTACTTGGGCTGTCCTTAGTAGACATTTGACTACTTGGCTTCCATTATTTTTCCCTTAGAGAGACTGTAAGGTCCCTTTGGTAGGTCCTCCTTCCACATTTATACCATTATAACATGAATTGGGGTGAAATGAGCAAATACCATCTTGAAACACTGGATAATTTACAAGCTCTAAACGAAAGGCACAAAATATCCATGCCTTGTTTCGAGAGTCTGAGCTAATGACAGAAAGCCAGGGCTGCAGAAAGAATCAGGCATTCCTCAGAGGATCCCAGGGGTGCTTGAGTGAGAAACGGCCTTCTTCTTTAGAGGAGTCCGCAGAAAAAGTGTCTCCATTTACCTTCTGTATGGCCCAACTCAGGGGCATATTCACAGATGGTGTCTCCCAGTTCAAAGACACACTCACAAACAACACCACCTTTTTAAGGGCACACTCAAAACAGCTCAACACCCAGTTTCATTTGTCCTCATCCCACCCCTCACTGAGTCCTGTTTTGCACGATAGGAACAAGTATTTCACATTGGCCAAAGCCCGGAACCTGGTCTGCTCCAGCTCTGCCTTTTGTAGGTGTGTTCCTACCTCATTTGGGGCCTTCACTTTCTCATCTAGAAAATGAATGGAATAACAGTGCCTTCCTCCTGGGGTTGCAATCAGGTTTCTCTGACTTAAACATCAAGGACTTCAAACAGCTTCTGCCCCCACCAACCCCATTCGCTTTCACTGTTTTGATTGTCTAGAGACGAGGAGTTATAAACCCAGGGATTCTGTTTGGCTTCCAAATAGCAGCATCCAATAAGGGACCTGTCTTCTCGACCCATTTTACACCTGATGAGAAGTAGGGCTCCTCATTCACACTCTGGTGTCCCACACATATCTCTTATCATGACCCTAATGCTACCTAGTAGAAAGCATAGCACTGTCCGAGCTGATCTACCCCACTGACCCTCAGGGAGAGGTAGACTACAGGACAGGTCCAAGGTAGTTGACCAACTAGCTGGATCCACAGTCTACTCCCAACCCAAACAGCTCACTCAGTCCCTCAACTCCAGGGTCCTCATTTGTGAAATGCAGGACTTAATTTAAATGCAGGATCACCTCACAAAGATTTTTCTGGGGATTAAGTGAATTAGAGTGTGTAAAACACCTAAGGAAGTTCTTGAAACCGTGAAAGCCTTGGGCAGATGTTGGCTCTTGTTCTTAGCTGTCAAACTTAAGTCTCAGAGACACTATTTTCTTAGGCAGAGAACACTATAGAAATAACATCTACCAGTGAAAGATAATTTTCAGCTGCCTTAAATATGCTAATTTAATTTTCCAAAGGAATATACAAAATTTTCACCGCGACTTGAGAAAGCATGCATGCTGGTGCATTTTAATAAGAATTTAGCTGTTAAATTTAATTCTCAAGACATGACCATGTGTCCTCCACAAGTCTATCTTCTCTTCTACAACTTTATAGAAACCACCTTGCAGAGCCGGGTGTGGTGGCGCACACCTTTGATCCCAGCACTCAATGGGCAGAGGCAGGTGGATCTTTGTGAGTTCAAGGCCAGCCTGGTAAACAAAGCAAGTCCAGAACAGCCAAGGCTACACAGAGAAACCCTGTCTCGAGAAAAAAAAAAAAAACAAAAGGAAGAGGGAGGTGGAGGAGGAAGAAAGGAAAGAGAATGAGGAGGAGGAGGAGGAAGAAGAGAAGGAATAAAGAATAGAAAGAAAAGAAAAGACTCCACCTTGCTCCAGGGGAAAGGCCCCGGATCATAGTTACGGCATGTGAGCGACGTAGGTGCCCTAAGAAAGCGCTAGACCCCCCCATATCTTCCTAAAGAGCTATCTACTGCCAAATGTTGGCTTCTGGAGAAGAAGTCATTCTCTTCAGTGGCACAGCCACTATCAGGCTGCCCATGCTCCAAGAAATAATGCCCCATCCATGCTCACACAAGCAACCTTTGCATGAGGAGGACCATGGTTTTGCACAGTCTTCCTGAATTTCGTTCTTGCACATTGTGCTCTGTAAATTCCTGTTCCTGGGACACTTAGGGCACCCCTACTTAAAATATGACATGAGTGGTGATGGCAGTCCACATGCCTTTAATCCCAGCACTCAGAGGCAGGGGGAGCTCAGTGAGTTTGAGGCCAGCCTATCTTACAAAGTGAGTCCCAGGACACCCAGGGCTACACAGAGGAAGCCTGTCTAGAAAAGACAAAAAAAAAAAAAAGTAAAGTAAAATATGACATGAGTTCCAGGGCCTCACCCTGTTGTTACTGTCTCCTCCTTCTTGTCCTCTTCCTCCTCCTCCTTCTCCTCCTCCTATCCTCTTCTCTAAATGCTCTCCCAGGGACAGCACACTGATGTTGACCGGCCATGCACCTGAGTACCAAGCCTTAACTGGCCCTTCCCAGCCTTTCTGTCTTGATACACCCTCTCCATCCACTATAAAAAGTACAAGCGTCTGCCCAAGGATGAACTCGATTGCTTTGTCTCCTGACAAAGTTTTATGCCAAAATGGGACAGCCACTCTCTAGACATAAACTCTGGTCTGCAATCTCCTTCTGTCTCGATTTCCAAGAGGATCGCAGCAGCTACCTCCTCAAGAGTGTCTCCCTCTCCTGCCACAATTAACAGCAGAAATGCTGAACCCACCGAAGCTGAAGCTGCGGCACCCTGGCCTGCTGCGGAGAAGGTTTCATCACACCTACCTCATAAGCCCTCAAGTAAGAAGCAAAACCCCAGAGACCGGCTTTTCTTGAGGAGAATTCTCACTCTCACACATGGTTTTAAGTGGGAGGGAAGCCCATTCGCACATTACAGCCACGGCAAATTGGAAGTGCAAATTAAGGGGAGAAAAAAAGTGAGAGAAAGGAAAAAAAAAAAAAAACAGTATTAAGTTATATTAGGGACACTTTCCTTTGAACCTCTAGACCAGAAGAAACCAGGTCACTTGGTCTGCCTCCATGTCTCTGGACGAAACAACATTTGAACCTCAAGGTCCTGGTTGTGGAAGATGACATTATTCCTACCAATCACAGGAAATGGAGTTCCTTTGCCTAAGCAACTTGTTTGAGTGCTGTTCATCGTCTGTTTTAGTTACCTAAATATCCTGACAAAAGGAGCTGAGGGAAAGAAAGTTTTATTGTGCCTCAGTGTTCAAGGAAACGGTCATCATGGAGGCAGGGTCCTGGTAGCAGCAGCTTGAGGGATCTAGTCAGATTGTATCGTAGTCAGGAGGTGGAGAGCAATGAATGCTGGCGTACACTAGCTTCTTCCTTTTGATGCAACCCAGGACCCTGGGAAGCTGCCACTCTCCTTTAGCGTGGCTTCTCTCACTTCAATTAAATAATCCCTCCCAGGCTGTCCAAAGGTTTACGTAATCTAAATAATCTCTCACAGGTGAGCCCGGAAGCTTGTCTCCTCAGAGATTCCAGGTCCTCGAAAGCTGACAATCAAAACCCACCGTCATAACATCTTCTTAGCCAGAAAACCCTCCCTTAGCATCATTTGCTGAGGTCTTCCATTCCTAAGCACAGCTGCTCCCAGGCTGGATAATGGACAGGGTGGACTGAGGAAGCATGGGAAAGATTACGGTCTCCGTGAGACAGCATCACTGCCCCACACAGAGACGCTGTACACGTGGAAGTCACGGCATGGCCTCTGCCAGCACTGCTGGTCACATTCCCTCTCGTGGAGAATGCGGAACAAAAATAATCCTATTTTTCCCTTTTTCAAATGAGCATAGAAAGAGCTGGCATTCGTGGCA